TCGATCGTGGCTTTCCCCTTCTCTTGGCTCACCGTTCCTGCGCACTTGGACCACAGGTCCTCCCTGTTCAAAGGATGATCTCTTGATTTCTCGCTTACCGGCTGAGCTTTGTCTTGAAATTTTTCGGATAAAGAAATTGCCAGTTTTCAAATGGATTTCTTTTTTTTTTTAATGTCAATAGTGTAATTTATAAGAATTAAAGATTTATTTAATTATAAAATAAATGAAAGTTTATTTGATAAGTTGATTTTATTTTTTCGTTATTCCTCTCTAATTCGATTCGATTTATCGATGAATAAATAGATTTTAAAAGTATTTCGAGGATATACAAAATATTTTCTTTCCGTTTTCGAGCGCGCTATCGTTCGATGGAAATAAACTTCTCGAAAGAAGAGTGGAAAATCATCGTCTGCGTTTCTCAACCAACTATCCGTCATTGAAGTTGATTAATTAACGCATAACGCAAGACGGATCGTTCCCCTTTGAACAACACGCACGATATCGCGTTTAATTAATATTTCAAGAGTGAAATTCGATAATCCGCATCGCATTTATATCCTCGTTACGTTGTACGAAAATCGAGAATCGCACGAATATCGACGAACCTCACCAAAATTATTCACAAATGATTAATTACACAAGTTTCGATTCTTCGTTGATTTTTTTCCATCAAATGTTACACACTGTTCTATTCCGTTATTTTATTTTATAAATGGTTATATTAATCTTTTTCAATGGATGAAAGTATTATACTCGGTATTTTATATTTTGTTATATCAAATTGTATTACGAATTCTTGGAACGATTTCTTTATCACGTGAAACATTAACAACTGGAATCGACGCAGGCGTATACTGCGCTTTGATTACATGACATTCCAGAAACTTGTGGCTTTCACTTGCGGCTACGTGACCTCGAACCTCTTACCGATGTTACCGACCGAGTGATCCATATCTCGATCACAGACACTTCACAGAACAGATCTAACTAACGTTCCATGCATTTTCATTTTCGCTGTCATTCTCGACCTTATCGATTCAGCACAAGTAAATTCGGCATTTCGAATAATTTAATATATAATTACGAAACGAATATTAATAAAAGTACAAAAATATAATTTCAATTTTCCGCGTTCGACATTTTCGACGGCGAAGAATTTGAATTTCCAATTCGCAATGGAAATAACGAACGATAAAAATATGAAAAATCGAATCCGGTTCGATAAATTTGAATTTTGTTTAGATTTTAAAATAGAACGCTCGAGGAGAACGAACGCTCTTTCTTCCTTCCTCTTTTCAACGAAATAAATATCTCTCTCTCTCTCTCTCTTTCTCTTTCTCTTTCCGAAGGAAAAAAATATTCTCGTGAAACGGAAATCTCCTCTTGCAACTTTTCCTAATTTATTTCTTCTTCGAGAAATATAAATAGAGATATAAATAGAAACAAGAATTCGAGATAGTGGAAATTTTTACGATTGAAACGATCTTCGTTTATTTATCTTCAAACGTAACTCGATTTTCTAATT